CTACTTACTCTACTATGCCCACTCATTAATCATTAATCATGCCGTCCATGCCGTCCTCTACATCTCAGTGTGCAAGTAAGTATGCATACAAGTATATAATCCCCTGACCTGCATCTTGCCCCATCGCGCTACAAACACCTACTCCGGCTCGCTTTCTATAGGTACGACTAGCCTGCGAACAATCAACCTACAATGACTACCACTACTACTCCTTCCACTCGTCTTCCCATAGACCATCCTCAACAGCCTGTACGAGTACAAGGCTTCTCCCAAGGGACCTATGGCTTCCTCAATCCGCCCCGCTCCTCAAACCCCAAAATGCGCTCCTCGTTTAGCCGTCACATCCTTGACGCCATGAGGCTTTACAAAGGCGGTTTTACTGAACCTGAGTGGGCCCACTCGCTGAACGACGCCTTCAGACTCTTCCTCACCGGGACCGGCGTGGGTCCCGCGACACAACCTCGGTTCTACATGAGATGCGGACAGTCTCTCGCCTCGTCTTGGATCCCTGAGGGTGTAGAGTTCTTTGACACAAAGATGGTACGGGCGATCAATGGTCTGTCTGAAAGTAGCGGTAAGTCGTTTTTGCGTGTCCACCGATGGTTTCGCTCATTCATCATAGGCTGGCGAGCGATAGAACTCCCTGACCTCACTCTCACCTGTTCGAGAGCCGCTCCCGTGAAGCAGGCGGCACCCCCCCACGCCAAACAGTCCTCCACCGAATCCTCTGGCTACTCGATGACCAATCGTACCAGCATCAAACTCAGCTCGACCGACAGGAAAAAGCTCGAGTCGTTGCAAGCTTTTCTCTGGGAAAACAGATGGACAGCCGCAGTCCTGATTGTCAAGTACGAGTTCGACCTGGCTTTAAAGGGGTTGGCCCAACTGGCAGCTTGTCTACTCTCCGCCAACGAGCAATGTGCAACCCGAATGGGGCTGCTTATAGTCGCCAACCGTTTCTCACGAGTGATCACAAGCTCCAAACCCTCGGGCCTCACCACCCAGGACACCCAGGACACGACCCTTATCCTTGTGGAGTGTGCGGATTCTGAAAGATGGGGCGTCGTGGAAGACATGACTCGGATGACAAAAGCCAACCGAAACCATTTACTCTATCCCGAAATCCGTACCTCAGACCTAGCACACGATTTGATCAGGTCCATAAACTACGACATAGGAGATGTCAACATCGGCAGTGACGCGGAGGACGTCTTATACCGATACATCTCGACCGTTACGACCTTTGCCGCGGAGATCCCCATCGAACCACTTCTCACGCACGCTCAGCTTTCTCAACTGTATGAGTCGGCAGGACTGGCAGAATTTGAGTCCTATTCACAGGTGATTGTGATGAAGACTCCGATGTTGGTGTCGAACGGGCGAGTCGAGCCACAGTGTGATAGTAGTTCAGTCGACGAAGAGCTCGCTGTATCGGCACCCGTCTCGACCACACAGCTTGTGATGCAAGATCGTTTTGCTACGATGTCCCAGACATTTGAACCCCACAAGATTGATGGCGAATCATCTCGAAAGAGGAAAAGGCAAGGCTCCGGCAAACATTCTCCTGGGTTCGTGTTGCGTACTCGGTCAAGCTCTTCCTCAAGCGCCGGAAGCGGCGGATCAAGACCAGAAGGAGGTAACGATGGTGGTGGCAGCGGGGATAACGGCGGTGAAAGTGATATTAGATATCCAAGTTGCGGACCAGAACTTGAAGATAGGCCGGAGAAGAATTCACTGGGCAAAGACCCAGCGTCCATCAACCCCATATTAGCGGGATATCTTTCCGAACTGGCGGGAGACCCAACGACCGCGCGAACGCTTCGGCAGAGAATGCATCAGGGACCCCAATCGTGGCAAGAAGTCGGCCGGTGTTCATCAACTGCCAGTTGGGGAGGTGACGATTCTGATGGAGACCCGAAGGCAATGCATGCACAACTCTCGGAATTGGTCAAATCTGGATACTGGCGTGCTATGGTTGACCTGGGTGTTCAGTTCGCTTGGATTTCGCCGGAACAAATGGACACCCTAATATACAAAGACAGAAGCCAAGGCGACTCCAAAAGCGGCCTGAAAGTTCAGGGGCATAGCAATGTTAGCCAATAGGTTCAGCCCACAACAGCTGAATTGTCAGTAGGATTATTTCCTGTCACTTTTACCCATCATCTTATTGTTGAATAAACTTTAATCGATAGTCTCCGATCGGCTGCATATGGGTGGGATATGGTAAGTATAGAGAGACATGTAGACAATGCATCCTTTTACCCCCTCTATATTGTCATCTAAGTATTAGCAAACAGATCATTGGTCAGAAGTCTGCATACCTTTGTGTATAGGGAGGCAAGCTCCTATTTCTATCTGTCCTTGCAAAGACCTCTGTGTTGTATGATATCTGTCACATGGTGTTGCGTGACATTGTGACAGTGTCACACCTGCGGGTAGACTGCGGTAGTGTCACGGTCCTGTCCTTGACAGACCTCAATGGATCAAAGACAGGTGGACCGCAACTGTTTAGTTAGCTTGGACAACGACGTTTAGTATGTTGTCTGTAGACTTGTGATGTGGTTGGACGACTAAAGTGACTTGCAAAGGATCCGGGCAGGTCACAATGACGATATGGGTGTGTGTGATGGTGTGGACAGGGGTAATGATGATGAGGAATGTGTCGGATGTAAGTAGTATGTTGTCACGAACTACGTCGTGACACCTCCATTATTCCACCAACAATGACCCTCCTTTGACCATCAAAACCCCCATCACGCTTTAACCTCTTTACTCTACACGTAACTCAGGACATCTGAGACCAAGTATGGCGAAGTTGAACGGAGGTAGGCTAGGGAGGGACAATGGGAGCAGAAGTATGGCGAAGATAGACGGAGTTAGGCTAGGTAGGGACAATGGGAGCAGAATTACGGTGACGTTAGGCGGAGTTAGTCGGAGGAGGAAGAGGATAGCCGGGGGCTCGGGGAAGTTGGACAAAGTGCGTCGAAGTACGTCAAAGCGCGAGAGGGTTGGATGAAAGTCTAGGAGGAATAAACAATATTAGCTGAGAAGATCGCTGAAGTTCTTCAGCGATCCTTGATTGTTGTCAGTAGTGAAAGATAGATAGAGATAGCTATTTACCAATCGAGATACATCGCCATCAGTAGAACACAACCCCAGTTAGAGTAACTACGCCGAAGTACGCCGTAGTTACACCCATTTTGACGCCTGCGCCCTCCCGGTTGGGTGAGACATCGATTTAGAAGGATCAAGTTAGCCGAGGTTCGTCGACCGTCGGTCTATTAGGAAGTAGTTGTTCGACGGGCGTGACAAAAGAAGGGTGTATGGATGATTATTCGTTTTGATCAGAATAGTAGTGGGAATGAATCAATATATTCGACCTGATTTCCTTTCGTTTTCCAGAACAAAAAAAACAACCAAAAACCAAAAACCAAAAAAAAAAAAGGACTTTTGTCAAGTAGACGAACAGATGGGATTAGGTCTAGGATCGAAACGTTACGATGGGATCCTTTTTCCGAGTCGTGTTTTTCTCTTTTTTGCAAACCCCTCAGCCTCGCATCTGACGGGTTTCTCCAACGAAATCACAGAGAGAAAAGAAAGAAAAGGAAGAAAAAAGAGGTATACATTGTGACTGACCTTTCAATTCCCTCGAAACGTCTACATAAGTCTGACATACGCTCTCTGCAATCTTGTAAAAGTCGGATAGGAAAACCTGTCCGCGGTGTCTGGGAGAGATGTTGAGGACGATGGAATGTGCGTGACACAAATCTGATAGTCGTCGGTTGAAATGGATCAACTGAGGGCGGGTCAGTCATGGTTCCCAATGTGCGGGTGCAAGATGGACCGTGGGGGGGGGGGGGGGGGGGGTTGGGTCCGACCAAATGTGTGTGTGGAGCAAGTGTGAAGGGAGAAGGAGAGTGGGACTGGGGGAAGAAAACGGGACCTACCAAATCCTGTTCTCTTTTAATCTTTTGACCACCAAAGACCGAAAAATCAGTCTGACGATGATCATGATGATCTTTGATTTTTTTCTTTTTGTCGACTTTGGACATAGGAGGGAGGGGGATGGGGGGAGGGATGGGCCAAAGTCAAGGAAGGGAGGTCGAAATGATTCCGTGTTCACCCGTATAGAATTGCGAGCTGAGGCCCGCCAATTAGCCACATGATGGATATCGCCGTAATCCCGAGCACCCTGGGGGCCCTCTTCCACCCCCCCTCAGTAGTAGTCATTCAGTCACCCTGACCGTGTTCTCTGGCTTGACCTTTCACTTCATCGTCGAATCGTTCGATCTCACTCACATTCAAGATGTCGTCCTTCTCATACAGGTCCGTCCGTTTCTCCCCCCGTCCGTCCCTCCTCCCCCCCCCTCCATCCCTCTCTCTCCTACCCTCCCCTCCTCAGCTGACCGTCATAGTCAAACCGTGGTTCCGTCTCGCTTGTCAACCTCTCTCATCTCATTGCCGTCGTTGCTTCTCCTCACGACCAACCTCTCCTTGCTGTCTGTCCTGCCCCTGCCCGCGCTCGTGATTTCTATCTTCCACACCAACCCATCCCAGGTCTTTTCCCAGGTCAGACCGTCGTTTCCACCGACTGGTTGTCCATGTTTGTATTGAACGACTCTCTGGTTGACATCTTTCACGGCTGGGTTTCCCCGCTTGATTCTTTCCCACCGTCCGACCCTTCCGGTCGCTCCCTCGCCCGCTCCGATCCGAGACAACACCCTCGTTCACCCATCAGCGCCGATGGAAGACGTCCATCCATGACAACACGGCCGGACCGGAATGGAACGCCAAACGTTGCATCGTCCATGATCAAACGTCAACGTGCCAGCGTGAAACCCGTAAACTCGGGAAGGCTTGAGAGGTTGAAAGAATGGTTGAGCTCATGGAAGGGAAAATCTCTCTCTGGGTTTTTCAAACATTGCGATCAGGTCATTCAATCAATGGTCAGAGTTTTCTTCTTCTCTTCCCCCCCAACGATCTCAATCCTGTCTTTCTCGTATCTCTTTATGAACCTTCGGCTGACTCTTTTTCAGCCTGATTGCAAATGGAATTCATCAACCGAATCATTCTGGAGGACACATCGTCTCTTGCTCGAGCCTTTTCTACCACCCAGTCTTCAGAAAGCTGTCGGACGTGCCAGACGTAGATATGATCCCATGTCAGGGAAAAGGTCAGGTCTTGTCAAACCACCACCACCCACTCCAATCTTATCATCACCCTCAGACCCTTCACCTTTGGTTGCACGTGAGACCACCAGAACTTCATCGTCAACATCCGAATTCTCTTTGATGACCGCAACTCTCGCCTCTCCGAAACGGATCCGAAATGGTCGTCGTTCCAAGTTTCGGTTCAGTTGCAGCTGTTTGTTGCCTCCGTGCAGTGGTGCGTCTTGTCCGCATGAAAGGTGGTGGGCTGTAGTGCACAGGAGCGTGGCGCAAGCGATGGCCACGGCGGGGGTTGACAGACCGGTCAGGAAGCATCTGGTGAGAAAGACAGAGATGCAGGGACGGTGGTGGTGAGTGACTGGGAATATAAGGTGGCAGACAATGGGGAGTTTCTCAGCAAGAGAAGATACCGCAGGCATGGGAGAGGTGTTCATGCAGGAGAAGGAGGATGTCACGGACTATGTCGTGACAGCCCAAAATCCTATCAATAACGACCCTCCTTTAACCATCAAACCTCCATCAAACCTCCATCAAACCTCCATCAAACCTCCATCACACCTCGGCCTCCTTGATTCATGCATAACTCAGGATACCTGAGACCAACTACGGCGAAGTACAACAAAAGAATGAAGCAAACAGACATCAGGAGTGTAAGTACGCCGAAGTGCGGGGTACCTAAGGCGGAATAAGATGAAGTTAGATGAAGTTAGATGAAGTTAGATGAAGTTAGATGAAGTTAGATGAAGTTAGATGAAGTTAGATGAAGTTAGATGAAGTTAGATGAAGTTAGGATGGTCAGGGAGGAAGGAAGCAGAAGTACTGCAAAGTTAGGATGATTAGGGAGGAAGGAAGCAGAAGTACTGCGAAGTTAGGATGATTAGGGAGGAAGGACGCAGAAGTACGGCAAAGTTAGGCGAAGGTATGAGGACAAGTGCTTGGTGACTCGGGGAACTTCACCGAAGTACGGTGGAGCACAGAGGGGTGGATGAAGATCTAGTGGGGTGGATAGTATTAGCTGCGAAGATCGCTGAAGTTCTTCAGTGATCCTTGATTGTTGTCAGTAGTGAAAGATAGATAGAGATAGCTACTCCTACATTGAGATAAATCACCACTAGTAAACCCCAACACCGAGCAACTACAACAAACTTTGTCGAAGTTGCCCTCAATCCGAAGTCTGCACCTTCTGCTAGGTGAGACGTCAACCCTAGAGTCCGAAGTTAGCCGAGGTTTGTCGACCGTTGGTCTTTGAGAGAGAGACTGGACAAGAGGCGTGACAGAGGAAGACTAAAAGGATCTCGATACAAGATAGTACAGATAGGCACGCAAGCTTGCCCACCTATACATAAAGAAAACCTGGAGCTCACAAAAGTCGGTGAATAGAGCACCTCAGACATGCATGCATGTACCAGGAGATAGAGTGTGTGGCAGAATGGGGAATGCAAGAGGGAAGAGGACAATATCTGTCATGGTGCATGAGAAGGAGGGAGAAAACAACAAACACTATGAAAAAAGGATCTTGGTAGAAGATAGGAGAGAAGACATGTCCGCGTGGAGCTGGCCGGCATTATTGAAATGCCAGTGGCGAGTTGATGTGTGACACGCCGCGGGGTTTCGGAAACCCCCGAGACCTATGTGTTCCTGGCCACGTGTTGTGGCGGTGCCCGAAGTGGGCTCTCCGTGTCGTCATCACCACCACCATCTTTCTCATCAACATGCAATAAACCAAAAAATGACGACTGGAACATACATCCCCCACCCCCAAACGACTCTCGATTCAAGATTTAGACCAATTACCATCCGATGGACCATGGTCTACATTCCCTTCCACACCCACAACCTCAACTTCGGTACCTTGTCCGACCATTTCATACACTCATCTTCGTTTACCCGTTTACCCGATCGAGTTATTACCTCCTCCACTCCATCCTTGGAATGTCAGACAATTACCTTTTTTTCAACCCGTGGTTGCGAGTAACACAGAGCTCAAGGAACGTAATCGATTATCAGAACTTCTCGTGGCTTTTTCGAAAATCAACACCAAGACGGATTCTTCCGAGGAAAAGGATGATGGGAGGCGAGGTAAAGGGTTATTTAGAATGAACATGTTCAGACCGGATCTAGAAATTGGTTTCAAACAATCAATGGAGATTGAATATCATGCTCATGTTCCTCCTTATGTCTACAAGTGGTGATTGATAAAATCATTCGCTCGAGTGACCGGTCCAAGGTTACAAGGGAACAGGATCGATTGGGAGTGGAAAAGTGATTCGAAAAGTAAAAGTAAAAACTAATATGAAAAAACAGATCTCGAATAGGCTGTAGATGTTGTCAACAAAGTAATCGGCAATGTTATTGGTTCAATTTATCCATACCGACTAAACCTTCTTCTGTAGACCACTCCCACGACCACAACCACGACCCAGACCCAGACCCGGACCCAGACCCGGACCGCCATACACATACAGATACAAAAGAATTGACACGATACAAACTCGATAAATGTCTCCGTTGTTCAATCTACAACGTCGATTGTCGTTTCCATTACCGTCTACCGGGTCCTAGAGTCAAATGGATCCCCGCGAAAGCTTACGTCGTGAGTTTCCCTACGGATCGGGATTTGGTCGTGGTGGATCATCTTCTGAGTTTGGGGATTGATTTGAGTGTTGATTTGGAGCCTGAGTTGGATGGGTGTTGATTTGGAATGAGGTTGATGTGGGACAGGGATGAGTGTTGATTTGGGACGACGAGTGGAATGAGTAGGATGGGTGTCGATCTGGAAGGACTGTTGGGATGGGTGTTGAATCAGGAGATGGAGCTGGGACGAGTGTTTGGATCAAAGGCTCAAAGCTGAGGAACGAATGAAAGAGATTGTGACAGTTGAAACGAGAGAAGAATGAATCGGATCACCTTGGATTATCCAAAAAAAAAAAAGGAAACAATAGGAGAAGAGAAGATGAAGCAGATTTCAAAAATCCACCTGTCACGAACTACGTCGTGACACCTCCATTATTCCACCAACAACGACCCTCCTTTGACCATCAAAACCCCCATCACGCTTTAACTTCTTTACTCTACACGTAACTCAGGACATCTGAGACCAAGTACGGCGAGGTTAGACGGAGTTAGGCTAAGTAGGGACAATGGGAGCAGAAGTACGGCGAAGTTAGACGGAGTTAGGCTAAGTAGGGACAATGGGGCAGAAGTACAGCGACGTTAGGCGGAGTTAGTCGGAGGAGGAAGAGGATAGCCGGGGCTCGGGGAAGTTGGAGGAAGTGCGTCGAAGTGCGTCAAAGCGCGAGAGGGTTGGATGAACGTCTAGGAGGAATAAACAATATTAGCTGAGGAGATCGCTGAAGTTCTTCAGCAATCCTTGATTGTTGTCAGTAGTGAAAGATAGATAGAGATAGCTATTTACCAATCGAGATACATCGCCATCAGAAGAACAAAACCCCTGTTAGAGTAACCACGGCGAAGTACGCCGTAGTTACACCCCTTTCGACGTCTGCGCCCTCCCGGTTGGGTGAGACATCGATCAAGAAGGATCAAGTTAGCCGAGGTTCGTCGACCGTCGGTCTATTAGGAAGTAGTTGCTCGACGGGCGTGACAGTATCAAGGATCGCTCTTACCGAAGACCCGTGCAAACCTCGGAGAAGTACGAAGATTCTATGGAACCAGATAGGAGAGTTACACGAGGTATGAGTAGGGACGGGGATAGGATGGAGGAGAACGAGAGGAGGGCACTGGGGGAGCTTAGCAGGGCAATGGGGCAGCAGCTTGGAGCGGAGGATAGTGTGGGGGGATCAATTCAAGGAGATGAGTTCGTTCCACCATTTCCTTCTAATCCTCCTACCCCTTCGGGTAATGCTCTCCCACCCATAGGATCCCCAGTTGGATCGGATCAAACCCCGCGGCCAGAAAACACTGGAAGTACGGCGAACTTGGGAGAAGGAGGTACACAAGGGGTGATATTGGCCTTGATGCAGATGGTGGCGAATATGAACAAAGACATGATGGAAGAGAGGAGGCGTAGGGAAGAGTGGGAGCAGAGAAGAGAAAGGGAGACGGTGGGCGGTATTGCAGAAGGGATATCAGAAGGGGTGAGGTACGCCATGGGACGGCAAACTTCGGCGACCCCGAGCGTGGTTGGGGAACAACGGAAGGGGATAAAACTGCCTAACCCGGACTTCTGGAGAGGGGAGAGGAACAAGTTGACCGCATTTCTGTCGGAATGTGAAATCCATTACGAACTGAACTCTCATCTTTTCCCCAACGACACCAAGAAAGTCTTCTTCATGATCTCTCATTTACGCGAAACACCTCTTCTTGCCGTCCAACCCGATCTTGCTAAACGACCTCTTCCTGACTACCTTATGGAGTATGATCAATTCGTTAAATATCTCAAGACAAACTTTGGTGATCCGGATGAAGAAGGAACCGCAGCTCGACTGCTTAACAATCTAAAGCAGACTGGGTCAGCTTCGGAGTACTTCTCCGCCTTTCAACGACATGTGGCGATACTCAAGTGGTCTGATGACGGAAACCTGGTTGACCGAGCCAAGAAAGGGCTGAAACCACACCTCCTAGATGAAATTGCTAGACACGGTAAATCTTTTGGGACCGTCAAGGAGTTATTGGAGTTCGTTATTCCCATGGACAACAGGTTATGGAGAAGGAAGGTGGAGAAGGACGCGGAGAAGAAGAGGGAGACGGGGGTGAAGGAAGTGTTAGTGGTGGATAGTCAGAGAGTGGAGATGAGAGAGGAGAAAAGAGGGGAGGGGAGGCAAACTTTGGTGCAGTCTGCGGTGCAAGCGAATATTACGTCGACGCAGGTCAAGAACATTCCGTCGAATGCCGACGAACTTCGCCGACAATGGCCTAGGCCACCTCCCGAACTGTGGGAGGCAAGGAAGAAGGAAGGGAAGTGTACTGAGTGCGGGGAGAGGGGACATTGGTTGAGGGATTGCCCGGTGAGGGCAGCGAAGGTAAAAGTCGGATGGTTGCCTCCGTGGGGGGAGAAGTTCGGCGAACGTGGCGGGGGATCGGGGAGTAACGCAGTACCTCTGGGTCAGAGGAGGAACTTGAACGCAGTTGGGGGAGACGGGGAGATAGAAGAGGACCAGGGAAAAAAAGAGGACCTGTCGCAGTAGGCGAGGCTCGGCGGGTCCGCCATATTCTCTCGGCCACTATTCCCAAACCTATAAAAGAGACACAGCTGATGGAGTCAGAGGATTGTGCATACAAAAATACACCACTCAGTACCCCTTGTTCATGCAATGTCGATAATCATCTACTCATCTCTTCCACTTCTAGAGATCAACCTAAATCGGACATTTTTATTAATGGAATCAAGCTAACTACGCTCTGGGACACTGGGGCTACTTGTTCGTATATAAGCCCTAGGGCAGCGGCAAAGATAGGT